ATCCCATACAGAATAGCCATACCAAACCTATCCCCTAGACCCGAACGATCCTTTGATGGCTTCCTAGGGAGTATTGATTCGGAATAACGATTTGTAGTATCGCGCAACAAACAGGGGTGATTGGCTTCCTCGATCGTCCCACGGGCTGCCCAAACCCAACTCCCCAACCCCCGAAACTCCCACATGTGCACAGCATAGCAAGAACGGCAACCCGAAACCCTAGAATGCTCAAAGGACATCGCCAGCCCGCAACCCCAGCCGAAAGTCTGTCCAAAGCCCTAAACCCTAAACTGTAGGAGCAACCGAGACATCGACCAGAGTTCGTGAGCAGCCAGTGCATGCCGGTCGGTGACGACCATGCTGCGATGTTCGCGCACCTTCGGGCTTCAATCTTCTCGGTGCTCTTTAATCGAGGATATGTAGACTACGGTTGTTGCAAGGGATCTTTAGCAGGCTCCGTGCAGGACTAAAGTAAGGGTCCTGTAAGGGATCTTTAGCAGGCTCGTTTCAGGACTACATTAAGGGTCCTGTAAGGGATCTTTAACAGGCTCCTGCAAGGATTACATTAAGTGTCAGATCATGGCTCTATGACAGAGGGGCCTGGATCATTTGAGCAGGGCGTTGGGGTATTCCGGTAATATGGAGGCTATAACGCAATGCTGATCGTAATTATTCCGACTTCTACATCACATAACCCCAAACCCCCGGGAGGATCTAGAAAGTAGATCCCCTAATTTGGGGCCCTATACTCCTAAGGGTACTTTATAGGAACCCCCCATTAAGGGATCTACTTTTTGGATCCTCCCGGGGGTGGACATAAACGGCATCCCAACAATCTAACATTCAGGTCTTATGCTCGGACTTGGACCTTGGAAACGAGCACTAAGGGTGCTGGGATGTAGATGTCTGGGTTTCGGAATGGCCTACTGACTCCTATCCCCTGAACGCTAAACCCCTATCGGCTCGCGGCTTAGTTTTTTGTGTCCGGGAGTTGAAGGTTTGTGGGTTTGTGTCTGGGCCTTTTTGGGCATTGGGGCATTGGGGTTCTGTTAGCTTGTCAGGTCTCCACCTACTGAAGCCAACCCTTTTGATTTGTGCATTGCCTGAGTAGCGACCCCAATTTAGACGTACTCAGAACCCTGCCAAAAACGTAGATTTTGACAGGTTGAAAGTTATAAAACCTGGTTGGTTTTGGAAGCAGGTGATACACCTATATGCAGGTATGTTCTGGTGCTTCTGTGCGCCCTCTTATTCTACCCAAGAATATACGGCTTCGGGTTTAGGGTTTAGGATTCTCGGAGACCATTCGCAAGATCTGCTTTCTGGATCCCTGGTTCTGGTTAGATGTAACTTATGAGCGTCGCGCCTTGTCCTCCCGCAGCACATAACCACAGTTGGCTTCGTCCAAAGCATAGTTGGACCTGGGAGAATCGCATTCGAAACCACTTTTCAGGCATTTGGCTTAGTTGCTGAGTTCCAAAGCCCCAGAAGAGTGTACACTTTCAGTTTTATAGCGGGTAGTATTGTCCCAAAAAGTGTAAAGTGTATCCACTCAGCTACTAAGTTGGGCATGGACTCGCCCACAGAACCCAAAGCCCTAAACTCTATGCCCGTTTGCCTCCCACGAATAAGGCTAGCCTGCCGGTCCGATTTCACGAGGATTCAACAAGTTACTGTAGGGCAGGTAATAGAACGAAATTTCGGGTCCATTTTGCTACAACTGTACTGAGGAGCCCTATGGCAGTTAGTCAAGCCCACATATGAACAACGGGTTTATGGGTTCGGGCGGGATGATTTCTCCGACAACCTGAGTCCTTGGACTATCAGCCTTATAGGCACAACATAAAGATATCATCGTACGCCAACCTTTGCATTCATCCCGGAATATAAACGATTTCCTTCCTCAGTTTCAGCTATTGAAGTTCCGATGTGCAGATGCTATCTCTGATTTATGCGAAACTACGTCCCTACACCACAACCTCATAGCCCCTCATTCTAACTGCAAAACGCAAACGCAATCAACAAAACGAGCCAACACACTGAACATCCGGACCTAAAAAAACCTATGTTTACACAGATTTTTCTCTCTCTCTCTCTCTCTGTCTATATAGTTATAGTTATATATATATATATATACATACACAGATACCGTAAAACCCTATACACCCTAAGCCTTGTAGTGGCCCTGAACCTTAACTCATTAAGCAGAAAAACGCAGAAACCCTAGAATCCTAAATTCAAGCACATGCTGCTTCATTAAGCCTCCGGGCTTGATGCCCGACACCGGATGTGTCGAATCCGAGTGAACTTGTGTCCTCGCCGCTTAGGGTTCTACTTAAGGTCGTAGAGTTAAGGAGTTCGGGAAGTTTGGGGTAGTACAAGGGCCTGTTCAATAAGCCCCTTTCGGTAGCACGAGGATCCCTATTACGATCCTTTTCAACGGATGTTTTGCTTAGCCAGGGATCTACATTACAATCAACCGAAAACAAAAGGAGCCGCAGGTGTATGGCTAGGGATTACGATCCTTATCAAGGGATGTTTTGCTTTGCCAGGGATCTGCATGACAATGACCTGAAAACAAAACGTGCCTCAGGTGTACGGCTAGGGCTACTTGGAGAATCATGGGACTCAGCAAGCAAGGTTATGAGTACCTTACTCGGGGTTACGAGTATTAACTGAATTATAAGCCTAGTTACTAAGTCCCATGACCCTTCATGTAGGGTTCCTTCCCGGGTCCCTTTGCGGGTGCCTTCAAAGGCTGATGAGGTCTTCATCGGGGCTTTAGGGGCCTTCATGGCTAAAGCAGGGGGTTTAGGGTTTAGGGTTTGGGGTTTAGGGTTTGGGGTTTAGGGTTTAGGGTTTGGGGTTTAGGGTTTGGGGTTTAGGGTTTAGGGGGTAGGTCATTGAGTCTTACTAACTTCGGAAGCTGCAGGCTTCCATGGCATAACAAGCTGCTCCGGCTTCTCGATTCAAAGGGGAAAAGGAGGGACCCTTAAAGGGGACCCTTAGCCTATAATGGGCTATATAATGGGTATATAACCGCTATATTAAGGGTATATTACCTAGGGGTCCTTATTAAGGGTCACTCCTTTTGCCCTTGGATAGATTGGGTTTCTAAATCTTACTTGGCCAATGATCTACCGGTTTGCCGTTGGGCCCGTTCACGGACTACAAGCCAGCATGTAAGGTTTCAGGATTTTGAGTTCTGCGGTTCAGGATCGAAAGTTTTGGGGATTAGGGTTTAGGGTTTTGGAAGCTCTCGGGTTTTGGACTACCAATGATGCCCGGTCCTCCATTGGACGTACATCTTGCCAGGTGTCAGGTGTGGAGTGCAGCGGTGAGCTGTCTTAGATGTGAGTCAACCCTTGGCCCGAAGCCGTTTAAGCCTCATCGCTAAGCGAAGAAGCTGTTAAGCCACCAAACCGAAAGGGTCCTCAAGTACCTAGATGGCAGAATGTGGGGTTTCGATATTCGGAATTGCTTTTCTCCCCCATAACGGTACCTAGGACCCTTTGGGAATAGAGTCCGAGCCTCAATCCTAAACCCCAAACTAGAGCTTTGATTGAATGAGTTTTGGGCGCATGTGCTCGCAAACGCATTCCCAGCTGGAGCCAATTGGTAGGCAAGAGCGACAGGGACAACCCTTCAGAGATGCAAACACAAGCAGTCCTTCCAAAGAAACCAATACGGCTGAATTAAAACAAGCTATTTGCTAACTGAGTATAGGGAGCCCAATAGAAAACGAAGGACGACCTAATCACCTAATGACAACAATGACCCGCAGGTACTCTAACAACCAGGGATACAGACCGAGGTTTTTGAGATCATATTAGACCTACTGTTGAGGGGTAAATGGGCATTCTGTTATTCAAAATAAACCTCAAATACGTGGTGCCTGGGCGTACCTGCAGGCCCTGGGTTAGAAGGATCTGACTACTTCTCTTGCAACACGGGCACCTTGTTCAAAGAGTCCTTACAGTACCGATCTGGGTGTCCCGAAACTTGTAACCCAAAGTCCCTACGCCCGAAGCCCCAAAACCAAGCCCTAATTCACTCACAGGATTTAAGCCTGAAGGTTCAACTTGTGTGGGGTGGGGTGTTACAACGTGCTCATTCCGACAAGAGGATAAGTCCCCACATTGACTGCCTGATACGTATGAATACTGGGTGTCGATTTCAACAGTCCCCAAATTTATTTGTTAGTAAGGCCCTATGTTAAACAATGGGGGAGGTTTAGCAATTATCCGAAATCGATACCTAGAAAAGCTTAGTAGTAAAGTTGAATAGCCCCCAACCCTAAAACCCTGAAGCCCCAAGCCTAAGATCCTAAACTCGAAAGCCCAAAACCCTAAAGCCTCGAACTCGGTCTGAGATATATCATGGGATAACTATATCGGGGCTAGGGAATACTCTTGCTAACTATTCAGGCGTGTTTAGAAAGGAGCCCTACGTACAGTCGCGAAACGCTGCAATAAAGACCCTACTTCATATGCAGTATACGTCACCCCATACCAACCCAAAAAGTATGCTTCCTCTCGCCCCTAAGCCTAGGCTAGACTAAACTCCCCAAATCCAAACTTCTGAAGCTCAAATCCCCAAGCCCCCAAAATCTTGAAAATAAGTTCTAAGCCCCAAATGCCCAAACCCCAAGATGCTGAAAATACGTTCTAAATAAGCCCTAAAACACCCCTTATCCCTCAGCAAGTGTCCCAGTACCGGATCCCCCGGCTGCCAGATTATGCCCCAAACGCTAAAAGCCCCAATTTACATCCAAACCCTTGTTATCTAGGGTCTTAAATGATCTTGTTATAGCGGTTTCTTCGACTTCATGCGGGTTTTAGAGCTCCAAGCGCTTCGAGCTTGACCTGAACATCCGAAGTTCAGAGCCCAGGCCACCAAATCCTACATCCTGACTCCCAAATCCTTAGACCCTGAAACCCTGAACCTCAAAGTCTGCACTCAACCCGGAATCCTACAGCTTGATCGCTGAAACTTGGGTCCTCAGCAGAGAGATCTGGGCCTGGTGCCAGGGCGAGGTAAATTTCATGAGCAGCCCTTAAAAGTAAGGGTGCAATTTTCCCTGCTATTCGGTTTTAAGCAGGGGGTCCTACAAGAAAAAGGGCAGAAGGGTATTACGATTACTACTACTACTACAACTACTACAACTACTACTACTACTACGACTATTACTATTTCTACTCAGGAACCTGCTGCAGCGTGAACTTTCGGGGCAGGAGATCCACTGGTCAAGGGTTTCGAACTGTTAGAAATACACATTTGGGAGTTTCCGAAAATTAGATTTTGGGGTCCGTATGACTAAAGTACTTTACTAGGGCCCCAGGTTTTGGAAACTACCGTTTTTGCAGCTCCTGATTATAAACCCGAACTTGGAAGTTTCTAGCGACCCTACAAATCTTAGGTTCTGGCAGGGTTGCGAGCTGAAGCTCACCAGGTTTAGGATTTGAGTCATGAGGTTGCGGGTTTGGCCGCGGGGTCCGGGGTCGAGGGTTGTCCCCGAACCTGTCTCCCTACAGCGCAAACCGATGTTCATCCCTAAACTCTACAGCAAGGCTACCCTTCTGCATGCCTTGTCGTGCCCTTATAAAGCTCTCATATGAGGTGTTGACTTGAACAGTCCAAAGTTATTGAGATTTAGGGCTCTACATTGACCAAGCAGGGAAATTCAAATCTGCCCCCAAACCAATACCTAGCACAACACATGTATAGGTTCATCCCTAACCCGAGCGCCCCAGCCCCCAAACCCTCCCTGAACCCCAAAACCAGAGAGCATTTGTGGGCACCCTTCAAAGAAAACTTTTAAGAACCCTTAAAGGAAACCTTAAACCCCAAATCCTGAACCCTAAACCCAAACCCCAAACATCCAGAAAACTAAACCCCAAAATCCTGAACCCCCTGAACCCTAAACCCCAAAATCTTGAAACGTAAACCTTCAGAGAACCCCTCTAGAATCCTTCAAGCACCCCTTAGAGTACACTCTAAACCCCAAAGCCTTAAATACCTAAATCCCCAAACCCCAAGACCCTAGAGCACGTACCCCTTAGAAGCCTTGAAGGAACCCTCCAAAAGATTCCCGAACCCCAAAAACCCTGGACTATGCCTCTAGAATCCTTATGCCTGATCTGTAAAGGAACCCCGCAATTGTTGAACCCCAGCAAACCCTTCTGTCTGGTTCTTAATAAGGAATGGGGGAATGGATCTTTATAGTAACCCTTTTGTAATCCCCAATAATAGTCTCCATAATCCATCCCACATTCCCTACTAAGCACCAGACAGAGCACCAGACAGACCCTTCCTGCCTAAGGCGGCTGCCAGCAATCGTTCCACGGCAGCGTCGCCAAGGCCTTGGTCCCCCAAAAGGGTCCTAATGTAAGGGCCTGAATAATTAGAATAGGGTTTTGGGGGCCATTATGCTATAGGTAATAATCTTGGACCCTGTGGTCCTATGTGGCATAGACCTTTATGTATTATTTGGCGATCCATTTTGCTTTAAACAGAAATACCTATGTATGTTTATATGTTTTCAATAATACATAAAAGTCCATGCTACATGTACATGTTCCTACAAGTGTTGCTTCATGGGCTGCGGTAACTGAGATTTTTCAAGAGGCAGAGTCCGAAGAAGCGGTCCTGTTGCTGCTGTTTTTGTTTCTGCTGGTGCTGGTGCTAGTGCTGGTGCTGCTTGTGCTGGTGCTGGCGTTGCTGATGCTGCTGGTGCTGCTGCTAGTCGTGTAACTGTCGCTGGTGCTGCTGCTACTCGGCCGAGGGCGAGAACTCAGAGGAGCTCCCTCCCCCAGAACTCCAATCCTTTTTGCGGCGTCGCTGTCTCCAGCAAGACAACGGAATGTCTGATATCGTAGAGATGATACTCCCATGCTCGTTTTGAGATTGATGGGTCAGTGGGAGACCAGATCTGCTGTAAATTTACGACGTCTCGATACGGAATGGGCATCATAAGCAGACGTGCCCAGGCACCGAGCCGTTTCACCGCTCGGTCGACATCAGATGAAATGTGCTCTGCGTCGTTCCGTGGTTTACTCTGCATGATGGCGGGATCGACCTGCAACGTTATTCTTTTAGCCTGAAACTCGACGGAATCCACATAGTGCGTTTATGTGCGACAGTCAATGCTCAAAGCAAAAGGATCGGGTATGGAGAACCACAGCGCCTGATCTGTAACCATTTCTTGGATGTTCTGTAAGACAAGAGCTCGGACTTGCTGAATGCGCATAAATATCATATACTCAGCAATAGCGGATGCTAGGCAGTCGTTGTCACCGCCGCCAACGTAGTCTTGCAGCTGCATCACGCAATTGCGGCAGCAAGTCACCTCTGTACCCCATTCCAACGCTACTCGCGGAGTGAACGAATGGAACATAGCTAATTGCGGATTCTGGGACAAGGCGTTCGTATGCGACAATTTCGAAAGAAATAAACAACAAAACCATTCTATTGCCTGACAAGCCAAGCCACGCTCACAGTTGCGACTCTGGCGTCTTCAAGTGCGAACTGCAGGTCACGCAAGACCCGCGAATCCATAAATTCGAGGCCGCTCAACGACAAGCTGCGGCCTCGCCAATGTTCTCGATTGCATGCCGAGCGACACATGTCTTTGCATGTCCAAGCTAGTTTTTTGAGGAACTCGTTGCAGAAGAAATAACCCGGAAGCAGCTCCAAGGCCTCAGATGACAACGAACTTCGATCTCGCCGTGGATGGTTTCCACATCCTGGTAGAACGGCTTTTGCGAATGTCTAACCCATCGGAAGCACCCACTGGCGTTACACATCCATTCTCCTGGAGACACGCTGATGCTAGAAGCTGCATCATCTTCGACTGTCAGTGGCGGCCCCCAGAACCCGGACTCCTCGTCCGAATCGTAAGTGCTATTTATCGTGGCTGCGACAATTGCCGGGATCGACAGCACGACAGCGGCGCTTTCTTGATCTTCCACATCCTGGTAGAATAGCTGCGGCGGATCTCTGACCCAGTTGACGCACCCACTGGTGTCGCAAACCCATTCTCCTGGAAGCTCACTGTGCTAGATTCTGCATCATGGTCGGTTGCCGTTGGCGGCCCCAAGAAGCCAGACTCCTCGTCCGAATCGTAAGTGCCGTTGACCGTGGCCGCAATCCTTACAAGAACTGGTTGAACGAGAAACTGCTCATGATCATGATTCAGAACAACTTCAACGGCATCGTGGTCCGGATGGATGCCGTGCTGCAAACGATGCCAGGTGTCATTAATATCGCCAGCGCCGCGCAAAGCCTGCTTTCCTGCGACGAAATCATGTGAACTCCGCTCTGACGCTGCTTCGGCAAAATCCATGATCCGGGTTTCTGGAAGTCGAGAACTGTACACCTTCAACATTGCATGAATCTCTTTCTCCATGACTGGGACGCTGTCCACTAAAGGATTTTGCCCTTCTTGGTCTGGGTGGCAGCACACAACATGCATGGAACGCACTTTGAGGTTTCAATACTCCTCGATGATGTGCCTGTACAGATTCAGCTGCAGTCGGTAGTGATTGCCTGCACTATACAGAAAGCCTATCGCCAAATAGCACATAAAGGTCTTTCTCACATAGTCCTAGAGTAAACCCAAACCACCCAGAGGATCCAAAAAGTAGATCCTTTGAAGGGGGTTCCTAGAAAGTACCCTTTAATGGGTCCTAAAAAAGTCACTGGTTCGATTTTCAAGATCCTCCCGGGAGTTTGGGAAGTATAGGAATTCCTTATAGGGTTTAGGGCCTTGGGTTCCTTTAGGTGTTGTAAGTACCTACCTGTAAGGGAACAAGCATCGTGCGCCCCCGTCCCCAGCCCCTACCCTTTCCAAACTCTAGCCAGTCAGTGACAATGAACTTGACAAACAGCATGCCTGCCCATAGCACTCAGCTCACCAATCGTCAAGATGTACCCAATGTCGCCAGCCTCTGAACCGCTGCCCTTGCCACGATTCTTTTTCTTCTTCTTGTGGGGAGTGGACCCCTCCGAAGCGAGATCTTGCAGACTTCCCGTCAAAGTTCAGATGTGTTTCTGTGGGATTACTTCAGGAAGTCGAATAGGAGCTGAAGCTGACAATCCTAAGAAATCCTAAAACCCTAACCCAGACCCCCGGGAGGATCCAACAAGTAGATCCCTTAATGGTGGTTCCTTTAAAGTACCCTTAGTAGTATAGGGCCCCAAACTAGGGGATCTACTTTCTAGATACATAGTCATATACCCAAAGAACCCCATATCCCTTCCTTAAGGAATATCTGGGGCTCCTTTAAGGGTTCCTTTAAAGGGATCTACAGGGTTTCTAGATCCTCCCGGGGGTCTGCGGTAGCACCTCAGCTTGTCCCAACAGCCATCCGTCTGCCCATTGAGACCATGCCCACAGGGTCCACGCGGGAGTTTCCAAAAAAGAGGGGACCCTGGTATAGTACTCTAAATAATAGGATGCTTATTATAGTACTCTAAATCATAGGATCCTTATGAATACTGTAAATAATCGGATCCTTATTATAAGGACTCAAACTAAGGTACCCCTACTTTTCGGAAACGCCCACATCCTGATTCGCGAAGCCTTGGTCCTGGCCACTGAAGACGCGGGCCTGCAGCGCCTGCACCTCCTCCTCGCCTAAAGGCCCCTCAGTACCTATATATTATATAGGGGTAGTAGGCATAGGGTTTAGGATCCTAAGTACCTACAAAAGGATTTAGAGTTCCTTCCTGGGGGGGGCGATACTTGCCCAAACCATAGCAATAGTTTCTACTATACTTTCTACTATGTAGGTATGCAGGACCTTTTGACTGGGTTTTGCGCTTAGGGTTTAAGGCTGAGGGCTTGGGGTTAATAAAAGTTTAAAGTAAGCTAGTCCTTAGGGTTCCTTTAAAGGTTCCTAACTCCTAGACGGGCTCCTCAAAGGCAACCAGACATATTCCTCCAAGGTGTTCCGGTAAGGACTCCACCATATATGCCATAGTGTGGGTCAGAATAACAAGTCATGCTACAGTCCGTAGGCGTCATGATGGTAAGTATATACTGCAAAACCCAAGAGAGCCTTCACCCCTCATAGTTTCTGAGTCAACCACAATACCAGGCCGGTACTTGGACAGTTCTCGAGATCTTCGGGGTTGAGTACCCTGGCCCAAGAAAGGTTAACCTTTTCAATTATGGTAGGATTTTGTGAACCCCAAAGACATTAGGTTTAGCAACCTAGAAAAGAAGGTGGCGCCGAACTGAAAAGGCTCCCCGAAAGGGATCCCACTTTAGAGGACGACCCACATGGCTCGACTAGGAGCATGGTTCATTGATACAATAGCCACATGGCAGGTTGCCTTTTGTGGGTTATGTCCACGGGTCCCTTTTCCTAAATCCGGAAGACAACTCCAAACAACAGGGTCCGCTTGCCATTCAAGGTGCCGCCCGATCGAAGGGCGTGAACGTCTGCGGCAGTGGCCTGCTGCGAGAGCATGGGGGAAAAGTTGACTGAAAACCTTTTGTAGTATTAGATGACGTCCCTTACGAAGAAGCATCTTTCGTAGCATTGGATGACTCGGTGCTCCGCACTCTAGACCCTTCTGGGGGTGTTCCTGGGGATGGGCGTACCCGGCGACAGCATCGCTTTAGGGCTTCGTGACCTGGACTGGTGGCCTGGAGGATCTTGTAGCACCCCTGCCTTGGGCCCACTTAGGACTGAAGGCTACTTTAAAGGAAAGCCCCCTAATTGGGGACCTCATGCTACTTACTTCATAGAGATCTAAATATTGGAATCCTCCCGGGGGTCTGGGTAGCGAAAGCCGATTGTTAAGCAGCACAGCTTAGTCAATAAGGTACTTGGAGGGTCGGGGGACTTAGTAAGTAGGTACTGAGTAGACTTATAAGTACCCTAAACGGGGTCCTAATTGTGGTTCTGATACTTTTACGTCTCCAAAAGAACTACTTACTAAGTCCCGCGACCCTCCAAGACCCCTTGTAGAATCCTTATAGATCCCTTTAAAGGAACCCCTATAGATGCCCTTAATGGTACTAAGTCCCCCCCGACTCTCCAACTACGTTAGGACAAAGCCGCCGTCAAACCAAACTTCGGGTGTCGAGGGCAAAAATCCCGATACCCCAAGCCCAGAGGCCTACAACCCCTACCTCTAGTACTCTGATAGAACCCTTATAGAAACCTTAGAACCCTAAACTCCGATAGATCCCTGATAAAACCCTTAAAGGAACCCTTAAGGCATCCTTTACTTCTCCGTTCTCCGACCTCTTGGCTGCATGCCGCCATCTGCTTCTCCGCCAGCTGCCTTGCCGCCTGCCGCGCGGTGACCAAAAGGGAAATTCTTCCCAGAGACTCCAATATCCCTTAATTAAGGAGTATTCCTTAAATCATATTAGGGATCCTACTATCATGTAAGGTTTCCTTAATCAAGGGATATTGGAGTCTCTGAGTTGTGGCCTGGAGATAGTGACTGCTTTTAAGAGTTCGGGTTTCTTGCTCGGTGGGGTATGCGGCAACAGGGCAAGACTTACAAAGATCCTTTCGGAGACTCTCTACGCCGTGCAACCAAAATTCAATGCCATAGCGTGGCAGTAAAATCGAATATTTTTAACGGTTCAATAGTTCCACACTTATCCTAAACCTCACCTAAAAGAGAAGGGATATCTGTCACACATGGCGCTCTGCACCGAGGCCTCAGAGCCTCAAGCGCAAGACTTCAAGCCCACGCCCCGGCCAAAGCCCCGCAAGCCCAAGCCTCAAAGACTGCACCTCCCCAAAATCCAAAAGCAGGGTTGAGGGCCTAGGTACGCTTTGCTGATATGCATGAACCCCTGAACACCAAACCCACACAAAATGTTGCTGCTGGAAGCCAGGCCTTTTCATAGCTCTTGGGATCCTGCCACACGGTTGTGGGTTTGGGATTTAGGGGATTGCGGCCGAGGGTTCGCGGTTTAGGGGTCGCAGCTCTACTCCCCATAGGAGGACAAAGAAACCATAATCCACACAAGTGAACTTACTTGTCGAGCATCCTAGGGGGAACTACAAGTTAACCCTTGGGGCTATATGGGGTTATAATACCAAGAAGGTTAAGGGGTATTTGCTTGAATGCAAACAAAAGATCCAACCCAAACCACCGCGAGGATCGATAAAGTAGAACCCGTAATTTGGGACCCTACTCTTCTTGTTGGGAACCCCCTTAAGGGATCTGCTTCGGAGATCTTCCCGGGGTTCAGGGAAGAGCCTTGTACTTAGGGTTCCGGGATCCGAGTTCGAGGTTTAGGCTTTCGAGATGGGATCGCAATGTGCGGAGCCTTCTTACGGAACTCACGTGAAGTTGCGCTAGAAGGGGAAACATGATATACATGCTTACATCGCCAGGGATATAGTTTCGTCGCACGAAGGCATCATGCGGAGGAAGCGGACTACCGACAAGTGCATGGAGCCCTTTGCACCTCTTTATAGAAACCTCATGGCAACCCTCACAGAAACCCTAGCCCAAAAACGCACAGAAGCAAAACTTCGGCTGGGATATAATGCAGCCCGATAAGGTACGCATATCCATCCCTGCAACATGCTTATGCTAATGTACTTTTTTGGGTCCCTAAATATAGCTAGGTTCCTGAGTAGCCTCTTAAAAATAAGGGTACACTTTTTCTTAGTATTCGGCTTTAAATCAAAAGGGTACTACTCAGGAATCTAGTCTTGGGTCCCTACTTGGAGGGTCGGGGGGGGGGGGGGGGCAAGTAGCTATCTTAGACGCTTATAAGTAGCATAACCCCAAGTAGGGTCCGTTTCAAGGTCTTTATAAACCTACTTGTTATCTACTTCATCTACCATGAACCCCTACAGATCCCTTATAGAACCCTTTACGGAGACCTTATAGAACCCTTCAGGGAACCTAGGTTTGGGTCACTGAGTTAAAGTCCCTTTAGAGCTCTTGTCAACATGCCCGGGACCAACCTCCAAGCTACCCTACTCCAAAGAACCCTTATAGACCCTTCTTGAATTGCTTCTACTACCCCCTTTTCGTACCCCAAAACAAGTTAAATGGACTTTATAGAGATCATAGAACCAGAACAAACATAATATTCTGATTACTCCCCTTAAGTTTTATGATAATAAAAAATGAAAACTAACCGCGGTAGAGTTTGGTAGAACCGTAGAACCCCTATAGAACCCTTATAGAACCCCTGCAGAACCTCTATAACGCCCCTTTAGAGTGTGAGCAACCCAGAGAGCCCAATACCCCTTAATTTAGGAATATGGCTTCTTCATGTTATGACTTAAGCTATGTGCCATAATTAAGCGGTGTTGGGCTCTAAGCCCAGGGCGAACCTGCAAGCTGCTGTTCACCATCGCCTGCACCTTCCAAGGGCACTCGGAGCTCGGAAGTCATGAGGGATCTATAAGGGAATTATAGGCAATACCTGGAGTTCCTTAAAGGGCTCCTTTAAGGGTTCCTCTAAAGGGATCTATAGGGTGTAGGGTTTAAGGAGACCAGCAGATTACGACAGAGGGACCAAGGGGAAAAGGAGGGACCGTTAATGGGGACCCCTACCCTATCATGGGCTATATAATGGGTATATAATAGCTATATTAAGGGTACATACCTAAGGGTCCTTATTCAGGGTCCCTCCTTTTCCCCTTAGAGAGGGACCAACAGATTGCGACAGTCATGTAGGGGTTTAGGGCTTAGGGCTTAGGGTTCAAGCATATAGGGTTTAGGGTTTAGGGCCTCGGGTTCAAGTCTTACAAGGCTTAGGGTTTAGGTTTTAGGGTTTAGTGCGTAGGGTTTAGGTCATACTGGTAAAGGTTCATGGGGCTGAGTAACTAAGATTATAAACAAAACAACTATACTTATCACTACTGATAGCTACTTATAAACCAACTTTTCGGTACTTAGAACTATATTCACTAAGTCACATGAACACTCCAGGCACAATCATAACACCCCTATAGAGGCTGGGCTTGGGCTTGAACAGAAGGTGCAGAACATAGGCCCCTGAAGTAGCTATTGCAGACACTTAGTGCTATTGTCTATATATCATTCAACCTTTCATTCAGAGTATATGCCTCTGAAATACCTATCGTATACTTCTAGCTGTTAATTCCCTCACCCAAAACTCTGCCCTGAAAAAGGGTGCCTAGTAGTTCTTGAGCGACTGAACCCCTGGAAACCGCAAGGACGCCGAGCTGACAGCCACTGCTTTATCAGACCAGAGACCTTTGGCTATACTACTGGTTTGACCTGGTGGGGTTTATTTGTTCCGGATTTTGGGTGCACGGGTTCAGGGGTTTAGGCTTTAGGGGTTTAAGGTTCAGGGGTTTACGGCTTCCGAGTGCCATGTCAAGCGTTCGCCTTGCCTTCCGTAAGGGCTTTCGCTGGGTGTTACAGGGTTTTATTTGGGGGGGCATTGTACGGGGTTTGAGACTTGCGCCGGAATCTCTCAAATCTTCAGGCACGGAATGTACCTTAAATCGAATTAGGGACGTGTCTAGACGCGAAGGCAAACTTCTAAGTCAAGAGGTAGGAGTCCGAAGTAGCAAAGGCAAAGCCCATTCCTCCAAGTTCGGATCTCCGGTTTAGGGCTCCATACGGGGTTTGAGACGTGTAGCGTGTACAGCTTCAGGTTTGAGGATTTCCGGGTTTCAAGTTTCAGGACCGTTGGCTCTCTGTTTTTGGCCTTGGGGCTTTTCGAGTTTCGGGGTCCAGCGGTTTGGGAGTTTAGAGCCCTTGGGGTTTTAGGATTTCTTAGGATTGTCAGCTTCAGCTATTATTCGGCTTCCTAAAGTAATCCCACAGAAACACAGCTGAACTGTTGGCCTGAGTTTGGGTTCTACCAGGAAAAAAGGACCGTAAACCCTAAACTTCTGTTAAAAAGATCGCGGAACCCGAAGCAACCCAAGGAAGAAAGGGAACCCTAATCCAAATAGACTTCAGATCCCAAAGCCGCAAATCATGGATATGCAGGGGTTTTAGGGTTTAAGGGTCTGGGGTTTAAGGGTTTGACTCTAGGAAAGCCTGCACTTGCCTTTTTTCATTTCTTTACGGCCATCTTCGGGTCGAGGTGGGAACGTTTAAAGTGGTTCAGCTAAACCCAACTGACGGTCTTTCCATTGCTTCTGTTCTGTCGTCCCTTCGTTATGTCATTGTTTTGTCTACTCATCGTGGTGACTGTTTCTTCCTGTCGCCGTGCTCCTCTGGATGTAAAGAACTATATGACTACATGTTCATTGCGCGTCGTCTTGCTTGAAACTGACTGTCGACGGCTTGTCTGAAATGTGGAGCAAGCATTGTAGATTGTTTTCCTTGATAGTCCTGCTACACGCTCAGCCACGGAAGAAAACAGGTGTTTGAGCTGTTGGAGGCGACATTGACCCGGCCGCAAAGCTGCCGGCACCACCACCACGTTGCCCGAAAGGGAAGGCCCCATGAAACAGTCCATCAGGACTAGCTGACTAGCCGACCTCCGCTCAGTGTGCGTTCGTGGCAAACTGTTGGTCCCCAATGGCCAGAACCCTCTGAGTCGGCGGTGCACCTCTCCTCCATCTCCAAGGAGCTGCTCAAAGTCTTCTGTGTTGCCATATTTAGGGTACTTTTATGATAAGGATCCTACTTTTTTAGGATGCTATATTTTGGTCCCCTATTTTCGGAAACTCCCATCTGCTGGGTCATGTCCTGCTGCATCGCCGCGAAGCCTTGCAGCTGCTGCTGGGTCAATCGTTCAAGGCCGTTTGACCTTGCTGTCGCGGCTCGGATGAAACGAGGGCAACCTTGCAGTTTTATCTAGGTTTTATGGGCTTGTATGGGTTCTTCAAAATCAACTTTCTGTATGAGGGTTTGAACTAGGATTTCTTTATTTCTTGGGTCTACCTAGAATAACCAAGGTCTCCGCAACTACGGAAATGAGCCAATTTTTTAGCGTCACGTCCTTTTCTTATGGTGCATTGGTTACTCTAGGCGGGTCGTAAATTTCGATGGTCTCCGAAAGAAATCTGGGTCCCGACCCCTGAACCCTGAGGCCCTAGGACTCTTAGTGCCATCGCCAAGGCTGTGACTGGTATTAGGGTTTAGGGTTTAGGGTTTTATGGTATTCTTGCAGTGGTGAACTAACTATAGTAACAAGGTTGCCATCTATCCCCTAAGCGCTAAAACCCCAATGCCCAAACCCCTAAGCCGCAGCACACTAAACCCTAGCACCAAACGCGACAACCCCAAAGCCTTAAACCCTCGGGCAGAAGGCACGAAGAGTGACTTAACAGTCTTCTCGGTGGTCTATCTTATCTTGGTACCGAGAACCCTAAACCACCTACCATCGGGGTCTTAATAATGAGAATGGGGTTGAGGGTTTAGGGTATGGTACTGTATAATAACTTGATAAGGAACCCTCAAGACTACGACCCCTAGATAAGCCACCTTTGCATCGCATTGAACCATCTGACCTCCTCCATGCCGCTGGACCATCGCCGCCATAGTGCTGTCCTGCACCTGAGGCGGTTTTGGAAGACAGTCTGAGGCCCTCCGAACCAAAACCCTGAACCCTGACCTTCGAGCTAGCCTGGGAGATGCTGTCTGAGTACCTATGAGGAATATGGGTAGTTGGCAAAATTAAGGCCCCTTTTTGGGTACCCTGAATAGTAGGTGCCGCATTACATTAAGGAACCGAAAAGGGACCATAACTTTGACAACCACTAAGGTACGGCCCCCATACAGTAAGAGTTTATTATAGGGCTACTATTAAGGTCCTACTATATCTATATTATGAATAGTATTCGACTATTACTGAGTGGGGGCCGTACCCAAACAACCACCCATACCCTAAACCCTAAACCCTAAAACCCTAAAACCCTAAAACCCTAAACCCTAAACCCTAAAACCCTAAACCCTATAACCCTAAAACCCTAAACCGAGGCCTCGAGTGCGGCTTGAGGTTCCAAGTGGGGGCTCGAGGCCTCGGGCATACGATCTGCCGGGATACAGCTGATGATAACCCTAAACCCTATAGATCCCTTTTAAGGGTTCCATTAAAAGGGATCTATAGGGTTTAGGGTTTAGGGTTTGGGAGTTTCCGAAAATGAGGGGTACCTTATTTTGGGGGTCCTTATAATGAGGATCCTACTATTTAGGGTACTATGTTTGGATCCCCTATTTTCGGAAACTCCCATATATATCCTGGGGTTCCTTTAAAGGGATCTATAAGTGTACCAACCTCTCCTTTGAGGGCTCTATAGGGGGTATAGGGTGTAGGATATAAATCCTGCATTACCTACAATAAGGAATATGCCATAATTCCCATAGCTTAGGGTCCTTAAGGTAAACCGTAGGTGCAGTGGAGGACTGAGCGATTCGACATTTAACCGGGTTTGAGGTTGAGAGCCACATGGGGGTCTCCCAAAATAGGGGACCCTAATATAGTACCCTAAATAGTAGGATCCTTGTTGCAAGGACCCCCTAAATACGGTACCCTCATTTTCGGAAACTCCCAAATTTAGTCTAAAACCTCGCAAACATAGCAACCCGTGGCCCAACCCAAAGCTTCGCGCCGTTCTGAAGCCTGCAAGTAAAACAATACGAACCCTGTGTGACCACCGCGGACCAGAACCCGGTGTTTCGTTTCCGGTTCAGGGTTCGGTGTTCAGGGTTTAGGGTTTAGGGGATCAGGGTTTAGGTGTTTAGGGCTGCACATCCTGAACAAATTCCTGCTACTGCTTAGCACTGCTACTGAGCTTGCCGGCAACTCCCTGCTTGCCGTGTCAATCCCCAGACCCCTGGTACCCTTCAGTAGTACCCAAACCCGTGGGAGGATCTAGAAAAATTGGGACCCTATACGATTAAAGGGCACTTTATAAGAACCCACCCTTTCGAGATTCCTCGGAACCAACGGAGAACAGGACTGAGGCTGGCACACCAGGAGGGCCTTTTCAGCTGCATTTAGAAGGACTTTTTCAGGGTGTTTATGTTTAGCTCGAGAAAGTTTTCTTGGGTTTATTGCCGGATGTTGCTAGGATTTTTTGTCGGCTGTTTGGCTTTCTGCTCCCTAGAAGCCGGTACCTCTTAAGAGCACCTGTTTACGATGATTCAAGGCATATCCGGAATTCAGCGATGTGTGTAGGGTTTTGGGGATTCAAGGGCTGCACAAACAACGGTTTCAGGGTTTCTCTCCGTTGTGGCTTAGGGATTTCGGAATCAGAGCGTTGAGATCTATTAGGTCCAGGAATTGCGTGTTTAGGCGCCTAGGGCTTCACAGACCCCAGGAGCATCTAGAAAGTGGCACGCCCATTTTGGGACCCTATTAGTTGCTGACTTCTTAAGCTCCAAAAAGTGTAGACTTTCAGTTTTGTCGTGGGTAATATTACCCCAAAAAGTGTAAAGTGTATCCACTCAGCTACTGAGCTATCCTACTACAGGGTAGTTCATGGGAGCCCCAAAGGGATCTACTGTTTAGATCCTTCCAAAATTTCTGGCTTAGTGTCTGGAGGCCCGCTCACTGGAATCTCGAAACCCGATGAGCACCGTATATAATAAACCGGCCCTGTAAGAGCCATCAACAACAGAAACCACCCTGCAGCAAGCCGGACGTCTTTGCAAGGAAACCCGACGCTTTCGTGGCACTGCCTGGCCCCTCTCGGGCGGCGCGGGATCCGGCTCTGCCTTGTCGCGGTAGTTTGGGGCTTTAGGCTTGGGTTGAGGGTTTGGCGTACTTTTCTGTGAAGAAACATGGGGGTTCCTTTGAGGATCATAGGTAATACTCCTTGTAGCGAACGAAAAGGGTCGTGCAGAATTTGGGCTTGGCTGTGAGGGTTCAAGCCATTTTGGGCTTCTAAAGAGGGCCGCCTTGCCAAGGTCCCCTCAAGCGGAAAAGGAGGGACCCTTAATGGGGACCCCTACCCTATAATGGGCTATATAATGGGTATACCTCGGGGTCCTCATTAAGGGTCCCTCCTTTTACCGTTGGATCCTTTCAAGGCCCTCTACAAACTCGAGTAGCACCCTGTGTAAAGACCGAGTTTCAAGAACCTTTATGAACCAAGGCTCCCTAAACCCAAGATCCCTAAACCCTAAACGCAAAACCCTAAAAGGATCCAAAAACCTTCATGAACCAAGGTTTCATAAGGAACCTAGTACAAACTGCAAACACAAAACCCAGAAACAGGCTGAGAAAGCAGCTCTAATGTAGGAACCTGATTAAGAAACCTTGGGCCTTTATAAGGGTTCCTTATATGAATCCTAATATATTGGGGGTTATAGGGCCAGGGTTTCTTAATCAGGTTCCTACATTAGGAGCAGCTCAACGCGAGCTGTGGCCTGAGAAGCTTGGCGACTTGTGCACGACAACATACTTTGAGGATCATGGGACCCCTTAAAGGGATCTAATTATAGGGTTCCTTAAAAGGATCTATAGGGGTTTAGGGTTTAATAGTCTACTTGGAGGATCATGGGAGTTAGTAAGTAAGGTTATAAGTACTTTTATTGGGCCTACAAGTATTTATAAGTAAGTTACCTTGATGATAACCTTAGTTTCTAAGTCCCATGACCCTTTAAGTATTCTTGCTGTGGCTCACAGCTTCGCTGTAACCGCAACACACCTCATCCACTCTTGTGGACGTCGGACTGGCATGCGCGATAACGCTCTTAAGCTGCCTGGCACGGTTAAGACTCGATGCCGATATGCCGGGCCACTCGAACATCAGGAAGTCCTTCAAGCACGCGGTGGACCATGCGGTTCGAGTCTTTACTACATAATTAGGCTGTAGTCTGCTCCTTAGAGACTGAATTCTTTCCTTCGGCTTCTTGACGGAGCTCGAACCTTACCACCCTTCAGCCTCAAGCCTACACCACAAATAGTCCGAAATCTTGACTAAGGGATAAAACCCCTTGGACTGCAAGTCTCGAATATTAGCCCTAAACCTAAACCCTAAAACCCCTGTCCAAAACCTGACAAAGCCCCTCCCCTCACAAGTGACCCCTTAACCCAAACCCTACTGATGTTGGCGTTGCCGCACATATAGAATCCACCCAAAAAAAGACCAATTATCTTAGGCCCTACTTAGGCATGGGTCTATGTGGTATTTCAGCAGCAACGAACCCCAACCTTCATAAGGACCCAGGATGTGAGAGCCAAGGCCTAACGCCCTAAAACAGATCCCCAAACCCCAAAACCCCAGAAGTTGATATTACAAAGTTTGCAACGAAGCCTATACCCTAACCCTTAAAGGAGCCCCAAAAGAACCCTAAACTCGAGCCCTTAACGGAGCCCTAAGGGAACCCTCTAAGAACCTATGATGGGAGGCCAAAAGGGGGTTTAAGATTCTTGGGGTAGGGATTCCTTAATATGAACCCTATTATGGGAACCCTAATCCCTACTAACCCCCCATGGGCTAAAACCCCTTTTGGCCTCCTATGAGCTTATCCTAAGGGCCCAAAGGACCCAAGAATCAGGTACTTAGGTTTCGGATAGTAGGTATGAGGGTTACTATTGGGAAGAGTGTATGATTACTGTAGTAGGTCCTTTTGGCCTCCTATGATATATACCCTTAATATAGCTATGATATACCCGTTATATAGCCCATGGGAGAGGGGGTGCCCATTAAGGGTCCCTCCTTTTCCCCTTGGTCCCTCTGTCCTACACCCTATAGATCCCTTTAGAGGAACCCTTAAAGGAGCCCTTTAAGGAACTCCAGGTATTGCCTATAATGGTCTCCCCAGGCATTCGACCTCAGCCTCGGCTGCCATGGCTGCGACGGCCGAGGCCTGAGCTTCTCTTGTCATTCGGTTGATGATATAAAACCGTTTAGGGTTTTGGAGTTTAGGGATTTAGGGATTTAGGGATTTGGGGATTTAGGGATTTAGGGTTTAGGGTTTAGGGATTTAGGGCTTTAGGGTTTATGAGGGTTCTAGAAAGGGTCCTTTAAAGGGATGTATATGGGTAAATCCGTTTAGGGTTTAGGAATTTAGGGATTTAGGGTTTAGGTTGGGATTTGTTTTCATGATGCAATACCCAGGGTTTCATAGGGTTTATGATATAAACCCGGCATTACCTTAAGGACCTTAAACTATGGGAATTATCGTCTATTCCTTACTATGGGTAGTGCAGGATTTTTATCATCAACCATTGCTTTTGGCTGGGGCTGAGTACTTGGAGGATTACGGGACTGAGTAAGTAGGGTTATAAGTACCCTTGACTGGGGGGGGGGGGTTATATGTAATTGTAATTATAAGTATAGTTACCCTAATTATCACCCTAGTTACCAAGTCCCATGACCCTTTAAGGGCCCTGGCCCGCAAAACGGGTCACCTTTTCATGTATGGTAGGGTTCGATAAACCCCCAAGAAGTTGAAGGTTACCCACTCAGCTACTCAGTTGGTGGAGTACGGTTTGTCTTTTAAGTCGCTTTTATCTTTAGGCAGTCCGTTCCTGCCGGGATCTCACATACTCCCGAAACCCTAGTAAGCGGCCCTGATATCAAAATCCAAAACCCAGCACCCGTAAAGCCTAAAGCACCAAAACCCTGAAGCCCCAAAACCCTAAGCCCTGAAAGCCTAAAGCCCCACAACCCGAACGCCCCACACCCCGACAAATCTAAGGGTTCCCTTAAGAGTCTATTGGGGATCTATGTGTGGTTGTGAAAACTATGGCCCCATTTTGGGTACCCCAAATGTTAGGTGCCGTATTAGATTAAGGACCCAAAAAGGGAACCATAATTTTGACAACTACCCATGTGGGTTTAGGGTTGTGTAGAAGCCTAAGGAATTACGACCATCATTCTTCCTTAGGGTTCCATCTTCTGATTGCACTGTCTTATGTGCCCAAAGCCTGTGCGAATTCACAGTGTCCCTAGATCAGAGAAACCCTATAGAAACCTTATAGAACCTAACGTTAACTCACCAAAACATCCAAAAAAGTACCCTCCTAAGGAACTATGTAAGGAAATCCCTACCAGTAGGTTTCTTAGGGGGCAGGTGGAGCTTTGGCAATGCACCTGAAATAAACGGGGGGCTGGTGGCAGTCGCTGGGCTTCTAGCAACGCGCGACTGACGGTTTGGGGTTTAGGGCTTAGTGTTCAGGGCTGAAGAGGGAGGTTCTCACATGAAAGCCCTACATTCAAAACCCCTAAACCCTTAACCCCTAAACCCTTAAACCCTAAACCCTTAAACTCCTAAACCCCTAAACCCTAAACCCTTAACCCTTAAACCCTAAACCCTAAACCCCTAAACCCTTAAACCCCTAAAGCCTACACCAGGTCACCTCAAGTGTTTTGGGAGGCTGACAACCTCCTGCCGTAGGTCCAAGCTGAAGCTGCTGTTTGCAAGGGAACTTCAAGGGTCATGGGACTTGGTAACTTAAAGGGCTCCTTAGGGAGTTCCTTAAAGGGTTCTATAAGGGAGCTATACGGGTTTAGGGTTAAGGGTCTACTTAAAGGGTCATGAGACTTGGTAACTAGGGTTATAATTATGGTAACTATACTTATAATTACATATAACCCCAATTAAGGGTACTCATAACCCGACTAAGTCCCATGAGTTGAAGGGGCCGAAAACCTGAAGCCCTCAAAACCCTCAAAAAGCTCGAAACTCCCCTAGAGTACCCCAGTAGAACCTGTTTGAGCACTTAGAGCAACCCCCATAATACCCCTATAAACCCCTTTCAGGTAAGCCCGACACCCTAGACCGTGCTTAAACCCTGCAACCCCCAAAGTTCTTTTGCACGCAGCCACCACTGGAAGAAGCGTTGATCACAGGGACTCCCCTCTGAAAGGGCGAGGGCATCGGCAGGGCTACCTGGGCTTTGAAGTGACCAGGGTTCCTCTCAAGGGATCTAGAAGGGTTTAGGGTTTCGGGTTCCTTTACAGGGTTTAAATAGATCCCTAGTTACAAGTAATGTTGGCACCCTTAATACGTGGCCTTGAAGGCTTTCCTGTAGTGAACAAACCCTAAGCCCTGAGGCCCTGAAGTGAACACATCCTGAAGTATGGCACTCGACCGCTTACCCGTTTACCCTTAAACCCTAAACCCCAAACACGAAAAGCGTCCGGAAGCAATAATTAATACCCTAAACCAATACCAAAATCCTATTCTGATTATTAAAGCCCCTAAAGTATGGAATTCCAGAGCCCAGCTGCCTGCCACGTAGGACGAGCCGGACCAGCCTGAACCTAGGCTGTCTTTTTTTGGGCTTCCTTTAAAGGAGCCCTCAAAAGGAATCCTTAAAGGAACGCCTACCCTTTAAAGGAACCCTTAAATGGAACCCTTAAGCGGAACCATGAAAAGGACACCTTCTTAAGGGATTCCGCTAAGGGCTCCTGGGGGGTTTTAAGGGGATTTGGGTTTAGGGTTTAGGGTTTAGGGTTTTAGGGGATGTGGGGTTTGGGGTTTTAAGGCTTTGGCGGAGTTGGAGGTGGAGGATTTAATGCGGGGATTGGGGGTGTAATGTAGGAACCTGATTATATGAAGCCTAATATATGGGGGTTACAGGCCCAGGGTTTCTTAATCAGGTTCCTAGATTAGAGGGTTAGGATTGGGGGTTTGGGAGCTTTTCAGAAGGGCCTGGAATGACAATATACAACAACCCAGGACCCGTGGCCAAGCCCTGAACCTCAAACGTACTACTGAGTCAAGGCCCTATAAACCTATATGGGAGTTTCCGAAAATGGGGGACCCCAATATAATACCCAAAATAGTAGGATCCTTATCATAAGACCCAAAATAAGGTACCCCGAAGTTTCGGAAACTCCCATATTTCCAATCCTTCTACACCCCAAACCTTAAGCCCCAAACCCTACTTGGAGGGTCGGGGGACTTAGTAACTTGTTATTTTAGGGACTTATAAATACCATAAGCCCCAATTAGGGTCCCGTTTAGGGTACTTATAAGTCTACTTGCTACCTACTTACTAAGTCCCCCGACCCTCCACGTACCCTCATGCCCGGTAGCGAAGACTGTGGTTTGTCACAGTGTAGCCAACTTTGCGGAGGAGTCCCTTCACGACAGCGGACATTGACTCCCGGTCATACACCTGGGCTACTCTTTAAGACTTTAGGCTTTAGGAAAGGATTCAGGGTTTAGGGGCTTGGGGGCTACACGGTTTCAGGCTGTAAGGGCGTAGGCTTGTAGGTCGGTATGAAAAGGTGACATGCGCTTATCAAGAAGTAGACATGTTTTGGGGGGTTATCAAAGCAAAACTATATTATGGCCACTAATTTTACGGCCTCTAGAACACTTCGATTAAACCAAAAGTGAAATCAAGATATCCCAGATTGGTTTAGGGTTTTGGGTTTGAGGCTCGGGGTTTAGGGCTTGGGGTTTAAGGTTTTGGGTTCTGGGATTGGGGTTTAGGGTTTTGGGATTGGGGTTTAGGGCTTGGGGTGCCACCTAGATACTTGCACAAGCACGCAGCCCACCCTGCGATCCAGTAGAAGCTGCCTTGCGCCCTTCAGCCTCAGGGGCTGAGGATCCTGGCCTAAAAAAAAAAGTTAAGCTTTTAGGGTTTAGGGTTTAGGGTTTAGATTCACTTACGGTAGGATTGTAGCAACCCCCAAAACCCTAAACCCTGTTCAACTATGGCAGGATTATAGCAACCCCCAACCCCCAAAACCCTAAACCCCTTTTCAACTATGGTAGGAGTATAGCAACCCCAAAACCCTAAACCCTAAAACCTTTTCAACTATGGTAGGAGTATAGCAACCCCCAAAACATTAAACCCTAAACCCAATAAACCTCGAAACCGCGAAGGGCTAAAGGTTAGCTCCTCAGCTACAAAGTAGATGGTTGCAAAAATTGTGGTCCCTTTTTGGGTACCTTATATATTAGGCGCCGTATTATAATAAGGACCCAAAAAGGGAACCATCAACAGTAATTGTGACAACCACCCAAGCAGCACGGCTGGCTCCCAGGAGTTAACGAAGATGTGCAGGAGATCGATCGTCTCCTCGCGACCTGGGTGGTTCCTTCTTGGGGTCCTTAATAGAGTACGGTTCAGGGTTTAGGGTAAAAGTGTGGTCCTGTTTGGGTCCTCAATATAGTACGGTTTAGGGTTCAGGGTAAATTATGGTTCTTTTCGAAATTTGAAACCTTAATATAATAGGGTTTAGGGTTTAGGGTAAAAATACCGTCCTTGCCCTGAATATAATACGGGACCTACTATTTGGGGTACCCAACAAGGGACCGCAACTTTGACAAGTACCCGACCTAGCTGTGAGGCAACTTCATGATCCAGGGTAGAGCTTCTTGCAACGACGCTTCCGCGGCTTCCGGCTATGAAGCCTCCAACTGCGAAGGATCCCAGCATCTTGGAACGCACAGAATCCAGAGCCAGGTTCTTCAGCACCACCTGCGTGTGGTTCTGGCTCGCAGAAGCAGCGATGCCATTAATACGTAGGGTCTTCTTGATTCGCTTTGCCCACTTAGGCAACGCCTCGAATGCCAAACCCTTCAAGCGACCTTCTGGCAAGATGAAGGCGGCAGACAGCATACACTCCCCCAGGGCTGCCCCTGCATCCACGTATGTAAATGGCGCTTTTACATCAAAGCGCAGTACGATGTCGGACACCTGTCTTAAAACTCCAAGCACAGAATTTTCACATCTTGCCAAGCACTCGCTGCGGATGCTGTCGCTGAGGAAATCGCGGTCTGTGCCCACGTGAAAGATAGTCAAGTCTCTGGCGGCGCTCCGGTTGGCAGTATGCGCAGTTGCTGCAGCAGAGGCTTCGTCCACGTCCCAGAATTTTGCGCAATGCCTAGCGATGCAGTGGCCACGATTGGCAGAAGACTTCCAGGCAAGCAGCTTTGGCAAGCAAATGCTCACGCTGTCTGGCAGCAGCATCGTGTCCAGCAGCTGCCAGAATACGGGTGACCGAAGGTCAATTAAGAATGATACCACCACCTGCCACGGTGGCAGACCATTGTACAGCGCTTCACGTGACCACTCTCGCAGCAGATCTTCTGCATGCGCTGCAGCTGCTGCTCGAACTTTCCAAGGTGCAGAGATATTTGTTGCTTTCAAACTGGAAAGAGCCTAGGTTTCTGAGTAGCCTGTTTATATAATGGTATACACTTTTTCCTACTGTTCGGTTTTCATAAGGACGCCGAAAATGAAAAGGGCAACAGGGTACTATCCAGGAATCTCGGAGCCGTCTGGATGAGTTCTGGCAGCCGCTCAGCGATGTTGCGCCTCTCCGCAGTCAGTTGCAGTGACAGCAGGCCCTGCAAAGCTTCGCTTGACGGCTTTCCTTGCCTTTCCAGATAGAGCTGGAAAGCCTTGGGTACTTCTGTGTTGAGTACCATCGCCAAAACAAGGTAAACCTTTTCAATTATGGTAGGGTTACCGGGTTATATAGACCCCAAAGGGTTTATAACCAAGTCGAGCTCGAAAGCCTTGGATAGCCTCCCGAGCAAGGCGAAGGTGCTCCAGCCAGTGGCGGCCACGGAAGACCAGGCAGTACCACCTAGCTTCCCCAGCAGCCCCTTAATAACAAGGGTATGTACCCTGTTCCCACTATTAGGCGTTTATAAGTTGACTCCGAAAAGAAAAAGAGACAAAGGGTACTACCGGGGAGCCTAGCCACTGCCCCACAGCAGCTGATGAAAAAACATCAAACAAGCCCGGTCGCCTCGGAAAAACGTGTTGAAGGGAGACGCGATGCCTGGGTTCTTGTTAATTAAGTTCGTTAATTTTTAATTTACCAGAGTCAGGACACCATAAAATTTACTATAGATACCTATTATGGTAACTTAAACAAAATTCCTTTAAGAAGAACCCAGATGCCATCGACTCCTAACGCTTGGGCCCAGTCTCCGTGGGCTTCAGAACGAGACATGCCAAGCTCAACATGGAGAAGCTCCATCGTCCATTGGGCAGCGAGACATCCGCCGTGGTCAGTCAGAAACTCCCTGTAACTTTCTGATAGCGCAACCCCGTCAAGAATTCTTGCTGGAAGACTAGCACTGTTCAACAACATGCCGACTTGTCCAATCAGACGCTCTGCGAGCCACCACTTTCTGGAGCCCCGACAACTCCAAGGAGACGGGATGCATGGCCAATCTGCCTGCGACGATGGTATTCCCAACAAAGTGAAGATAAGCGCCGTCGCACTCAGAGCCATGGCGGCTATCTCCGACCCGAACAGCCATTCCCAGAGAGCCCATTGTCCCTTGACTAAGGAAAAACCTTCTGTTACAGAAGGTTTACCAGTATGCTTTAAAGTATAACATACCTTCCTTGCGCACTAACCTCTAAACCCTAAAATTATTCCTTGCACCCCAAACTTAGGGCTATGGTGGCGCTCTGGGGTGATAGAGCAGCACCCAAGAAGGCAATACTTGCGATCTCCGGAAGTGGGGTCTATCTTAGAAGGGGCCCCCAACCTGTAATAGTGGTATAATGGGAATATAATAGGGCCCTGATATAATCCTGATAGTCACTATCCAGGGTGGGGCAGCTTCTAAGGTCTATCTCGGAGCCTTCCGAAAGACTGAAAGTCGGGTTTAGGGTTCTAGGGCTTGGGATTCTAGGGCAGAGGGCTCGTGTAAAGAACCCAAAGAGAGACCCAGGGCTTTTTCATCAGGTTCCGAAATAGGGGTTGGGTTTTTGAACTGTTGAAGCGAAAGTAGTGCGGCTTGAAATCATTGTATCTGGTGGGCGAGGGTGTTGGCTTCAGTTGCAGGCCGAGACGTGTAAGTGAGCTATCATGGCTGCACGATCGATTCTAGAACCCCAGAAAGGTTCAAAACCTACGATACCCAAGTTGGGAACCTAAACCGCTAAAGGCTACTGTAAAGCCAAATCCTCTTCAGGGAGCTACTTTTGGACCTTGCGGGACTTAGAAAGTAGTCATGCTGTATAGTCCGCAAGGGTTCCTATAAAGGGTTGCTATAGAGGGTTTGTTTATACATTTATAAGCATCATAACCCCAGTTAAAAGCTCTTTTTTCGGAAACATGCAAGTCTACGTACTGCCTACTTATTAAGCCCCCCACCTCCAAGTAGTCCTGAAGCTGAGCGCCCAAAACGAAGGTGCAGAGCTCTATATGGGTTCTATGAAAAGGGGTCTTAATAATTAGGACAGGGTTTCTTTCGGATACTACTAGGGTTACATTAGGCCCTAGAAGGCAATACCTTTATTATACTTAGGTGCTGAGTTAGTAAGCCCCTACACCTTAACCTCGAGCTCTATCGAGGATAATATCTTACCGAAACTTGTGTCAACTACACACGACCTACGTGCTACGTAAACCCTACTTGGAGGTTCTAGCTGCTTACAACCAAAAACGCAAAGACATTTCTAGCTCACATAGAAGTCCCGTACAAAAGTCACCTAAATTCTGACTGGGTCATAAGTTTAGTTACTACTATAGCACCTGAAGTAAGAAAGGGGCCTGAGCAACTGGATCGCTCTTTGTTCGGGTTTCTTAATGTACATGGAACTCTTGAGCTACCCCAAACCCTAAAACCTTTCAGCCGTAAACCCTATAAGCCCTCATGAGCCCCACGAACACCCTAGCCTAGAAACCCTAACTGGGAGTTTCCGAAAATAGGGAACCCACATATAGTACCCTAAATCGTAGGATCCTTATTATAAGGATCCCAAAATAAAGTACCCCTCATTTTTGGAAACTCTAACCCCTTATAGAGCCCTTATAGTGACCCTTTAAGGGAACCCTTATAGTGCCCTTTAGAGGAATTCTTATAGTACCCTTATAGTAACCCTTTAAAGGAACCCGAAGGTAATGGAAGAGCCGGGCCACCAAAAGAAAGCAGAGGAGAAGCCGCGCCATCAATGACGACCGGCCACGTAGCGTGCGGCGACTTCAGAGGCCGCCGTGAAGGTACCCTGAATGCCCAAACAGCCCAATACCCCGTAATTAAGGAATATGGCTTAAATCATATAGGGCTTCATATTATGATTCAAGCTGTATTGCTTAATTAAGGGGTGTTGGGCTCTCTGGGTACCCTGAATGGTTATGAAACAACATGGGGTTTCCGAAAGTAGGGGACCCTAATACAGTACCCTATATAGTAGGATCCATAATTATAAGGACTCCAGAAGAAGGTACCCCCCTAATTTCGGAACCCCCCATATTACAATCGAATAAGGTGATCATGGTTGCCCCCTGTGGTTTAAGGAATGCTCCTGAGTCGCGAGGCTGGAAGTCTCTGGATCCAGCTCTAGACTAGTCCCCACATCTTGCTCCGGAAGGATGCCCTAAATCTTTCATGTTCAATCTCAGGAAAGGTGTGGATGGTTTTGTCGGCTCCTGCAAGGCTGGGCAACTTGGTCCTTGTGGGTCTGGGCTCAGAGGTTTCATAGTTTGGGGTTTAGGGTTTAGGGTTTGGGGTTTGGGGTTTAGGGTTTAGGGTTTAGGGTTTAGGGTTTGGGGGTCTCCATCGGGTCCTGATATTTGAGGGTCCGCACAGGATTTTCTGAGATTCCTACGTCCGGGTCATCAAACTCTGGCCTTGAACACTCTGCTTGCACGACCGGTTCTCGGCATCTGAAGGGCTGCAGGACAAAGCAAACCCAGAAGAGCGGTTACTGTTCCTCAAAAAGGAGCCCAGTGTATAGCCGTTACAAGAGGATCCAAAGGTAAATCCATGTCCTGCTGAGTATCTTCAACTGATGTTCTCTCTTCTTCAACAACCAGGCCCAAACAAGTTCCAATTTACAGAATGGACCGACGATGTAAGGACAAAAAGTTTAAAGTTATCCCATTTGCTATCTAAGTGTAGGGGTTTCGCTCATGTGGACTGTTCTACAAACAAGGGGTTCCCTCGTTCTATGGGGCTCCATGGGCCCAGACCAAACGAGTATTAAGACTTACTCGGCTTCACATACGGGCTATAAAGGCATAGCGGTTGAAGGTTGAGGATTTAGGGTTTACGGTTCTATGAAAGCCTGACCCTTAACCCTAAACCCCGTTAAAGGGGCCTTCAAAGACTGGAATGATAATCATGCAATAAGAACAACAAACACTGATAAAGAGGCCTTGGAAAGGGTATGACTACTTGGAGGGTCGGGGGACTTGGTAAGTGATTAGTTGTTATAGCTTATAGGTATCCTAACCCCAACTAAGATCCATCTAGAGGAACTGCTTCTAGCCGAATCTTGTGTTTCTAGACGAGTTCGACACAAGTTGAGTATGAGGGCACTCCCGGATTTGAACCACGGACATGGTGATCTGCAGTCAGCCGCTCTAACCTTATAGGTCTACTTCTTACCTGCTTACTAAGTCTCCCGACACTCCAAGTACCTGTTGAGGCTCCCGTATTGCACCCCAAACCCGTAGTGTGGACATCGACGCTCAAGATCCGGGGAGATTTTGTATCTTGCAAGCACACCCCGCGGAAAACTCGCGCTAAACCCTAAACCCTGAACCCCCTACGCCCCAAGCCCTAAACCAAAGCCCTGTGAACCCCATCTGAGCTGTGTGCGCCAGGTGATCCCACAAGGTGAAACATGTTGCATAGCTTAGCAGCTTGGGCTTCGGGTTTCAGGGTTTTGGGGTTTAGGATGCAGGATTAAGGCTTTTCATTTTCTGGCTGTGCTCGATTAGGTTTAGGGCAGAGGGTTTAGGAATTAGACGTTAGGTGTTTAGGCCTCAAGGTATTGTAGTCTTCCTACCTTAAGCCGGAATAACCTACCTTTTTAAGGACTTATATAAGGAAATCATAATAAGGAACCCTAAAAAGGTAGGTTATTCCGGCTTAAGGTAGGGTTAAGGTTTAAGAGAAACCGGCTGCGGGGTGGTGAAAGCTTTTCGGGAGATGTGATCGCGCTTGGAAGCAATGTACGGTTTAGGGTTTAGGGTTTAGGGGTTCAGAAGAGGAATCTGGATGAGTCTGTATGATGCTGCATACTATACTTGGAGGGTCGGGGCACTTAGTAAGTAGTTGTTTAAGAGACGTATGAGTACCATAACCCCAAATAGGGTCCCTTTTAAGGCACCTATAGGTCTACTTATAACCTACTTACTAAGTCCCCCGACACTCCAAGTACTACATCGGCACTCGGCTCGGACCCTCAGGGGTGAGATGGGTCAAATGTCGGCGTTCATCCGCGGTTTCATCTCAATCTCCAATGCCCACCTCACAGCTGATCTATCTGGGATAACCATCAATTAGGGGCTGAGTACCCTGGCCCAAAAAAGGTTACCGTTGCGAATTGTGGTAGGAGAAAATTAAAGACACCCCAAAAAAGTAAGAGGTTACGTACTCAACTACTAAGAAAGAGTCATCAAACATGTTAAAAAATCAAATATTGCAGCCTGAAAAAACGGAGGAGAATAGGATCCTTCTTACAGGAGCCTCCGCCACGAAACTCCTTATATAATTTTGACCCTAAGCCCCAAACCCTAAATCCTGAACAGAACCCTTTTGGGCACCCCACTCAGGGTTTCGAGCTTCGAGTCAGAGAGAAGAAATGCGGGGCTTCCCGTAATTCAGGTCCTAGGCCGGTCTTCATGCCTGTTCTCTACTCTTTTTCGACAAAAGCAGAAAACTTGTGCCTTATTTGGAACCCCTTTCGTTTACAGAAAGGAAGCAACCCCCGAGGAGCCAGAACCTTACATGCTAAACCTACAGACAATCTCCTTGATGAAACCCAAGATTCGGTCTATATATTCGTACCGGGCTGCCACATCGCAAAGATCTCAAAAAAGAACCCCATGACCACCGAAACATACCTTTTAGTATTGTATGGCGCAAGGCCTTTTTCTGGTTGTTAGTTTTGAAATCCTCTTGGGGTCTGAGTTCAGGGACGCTCACTTCCCGATGCCCGAGCTGCCCAAAATTTATGAATAGATTGGTGTTCGACCGATGCTGGAGAACCAAGATGAATACTTCTTATAAAAGGTCGTTTTCGTGAGAAAACTGACTCCAAACCGTGATGCTCTAAACCGGCGTGCTCGCGGCATTTGCTTCCAAAACATCAAAACGAAGCCGAACATAGAACGCCCTCAGTGAT